TCTTTCCCTGTTTTCAGCTCTGGGCCAGCCCCCCAATTAGTCTGCAAGTGCATCCTCTGTGCTTTCAGCCTCAAGTCACTTCCAATAAACAGAAGTGTGGGGCTGACAGTGTGTCCCCAAGCCACTGGTAATCACTCAGAAAATCTCATACAGTCACAAAAGTACTGGCAGTTAAATTTTGTAACACTGAAAACACTGAGTTCTTCAATATTGTTTTATCATCATACACATAGCATATTCGCAGTATACAAAATTTGTCACCTTTAAACAATAATAGACCTGTTTTGAAACTATGTTGAATATGTTTACAGAATATACAGGAATTATCATGCTGTAATGCTGCAGAATAGATCGTCTTACATTAAAATCTTCATATGACACAACTTGAGTGAGTAGAACCTTATCTTAAAAAGCATTTCACTAATTCCAAAAGAGAAAATATTACATTGGAGCTTTGTTCAGTGCCCCCACATTTCCAATTTTTTTTGTTGGAAAAATGGGGGAAAAGCCCTTGGGGGGAGGAAGGACAGGGAGGGTAGTTTTGTCTCCCCCAGGCCTTTGAATCTCTTTCAAGAACAGTGATTACCTCTGTCCTGGTTGTATAATGTCTGGCATGATGCTTTTAACAGTTTAAATTATTATGTATTTGATTTTAACTTGTTGTACACCACCGTGATTCCGCCTCGCGGGGAGGGCAGTATAAAAATCAAAATAATAATAATAATATTAAATGGTACAAGAACAGGATGCATCTTATGATCATTTCAACTGTAGAGTGCTAAAAGATTGAATGGACTTTAGTCATGATGACAATGGTAAGCCACTATTTGTTGTCAACTGAACAGTCACATTTTAGTGTGTCCTACTAAATCTGAAAAAAAGTTTGAGTCCAGTGACACTTTTAAGACCAACAAAGTTTTATTCAAGGTATAAACTTTTATGTGCATGCACACTTCTTCAGATACTAAATCTGATTCTAACAGAATGGATTTTCCTGCAGTGTGAAGTTCAGTCTGTAGTATACACTGTGGAATACTAAACAGAGACCAATAGTCACTCTAATAAGCATAATCTAATAATCACATGGGGTCGCGAAGACTCAACTGTGCGACTGAACAACAACAATACCTTAGAATCAGTTTCAAAGGGTAGCTGTGTTGGTCTGCATAGGGCAGCATTAGGACTTTCGCGGGCCCTAGGTACTTTTGCCTTTGTGGTCCCACCCCCTCCCTCCATAAAAAAAATTAAATTTATTTAAATACTTCAACATTTTATTTTTCCCTGTTTTAGGCAAAATTTAACAGATTTTCATGAGTCCTAAACATTTTGTTGTTGGGGTTTTTTTCGATCCTAAAAATTTATTTTTTTCTTCTGATTTTATAAGAAATTAAAACACTTTCATTGGCCCCTAAAAGTATCTGAGCCCACTGTGCCTAATGGATAACTTGGCCCTGAGTCTGCAGTAGAGGAGCTAGCACTTTAGCTCAGAGATTAAGACGCTGGGCGGCAGACCAGGTCTGTAGTTTGGCACTTCAAGACCCGAGTGCCATCTGAGGAGTGAGCTCCCTACTCTGACCCCAGCTCCTGCCAACCTAGCAGTTTGAAAGCAAGAAATTTCAAGTAGATAAATAGGTACCGCTTCCGTGGGAAGGTAACAGCGTTCTGTGCACCTCAGCATTTAGTCATGCCGGCCACATGACCAGTGAGAAATATTCGGACAGCACTGGCTCTTCAGCTTGGAAATGGAGATGAGCAACCCCCCCAGAGTGATTTGCCTTGCTTTCGAGCAAGGTAACTTTAGCACTTTAGAGACCCACAAGATTTTCAAGACTCGAAGCTCCCTTCGTCAGAATCACTTTTGCTATTTACTTCGATGGGAGGAAGGCTGCATCCCGACATGAAGTCAGATCACTGTAACAGAGCAACTGTTAACTCGCCAGTGAGTATATGCAAACCTTAATTAAAAATACCCAATAAAAGCAAAGAATTTGCCTTTTGAAACTGTACCTATCGTATAGCTTCCCATGCAAACTAGTAAAGTGAGCAGAGGAATTCTTAACAGGCCGCCTTTCTCACCCTTTTACTACCCTGTCGCGTGCCGGTCCACTTTCTCCCAACCTCACCAGTACTTGGCGCTGCGGAAGTGCGGAGTGCCTGATACGCGAACTACAATTCCCGACAAGCCATGCGAACTCTCTTCCATTGCCCCCCATTCCGGAGCTGGCGAAGGGAGGTTGCCCGGGTCGGACCCGGCGGCGGCGGCGGCCCGAACGGGCGGGCATGGGGGGCTGCCTTTCCTCACAGGCGGCCGATGACCTTTCGTTGCTCAACGACTCTACGGGCGACGGAGCGAGCCTTGGGCCTGGGGATCAACCCCCACCGCCCACCTCTGCTCCGCCTCCCCCCTACCAGGTACGGAGGGGAGCGGGGGAGAGGCGGAAAACGGCGCTGTGGAGCTGACATGGTCCAGCTACGCGCTCGGAAGGCGGGGGGGGGGTGTCTGTTGTGGGCAGCCTCCGAGGCTTCGCTGGGCAGAGGGTAACCGGCTGATACAGGGGGAAACCGGGGCGGTGTTTACGAGGATATCGGGTTCTTCAAGCTTTTCGTCTGGGCGCACTGTCGGGATTGGGTCGGCTAACCGAGTTTGGTTTACTGGAGCAAATGGCGAGGGATGGAGCCACAGAGGTGAGCCGTGAGCGATCGACTGAAAACAAGTTGGAGACTCTGGTTTCTTCCACCTTTGTGAACTGGACACTCAAGAGTTCAAGCTGGGAGGTCCATCTAGCTCCGGGATGCTACTGAGGTGAATTTGCTTCAGTTGACTGAATGATGGGTTTATGAAGGTGAGCTGATACCGGGGAGAGAACTGGAGCGAGAATCCCCTTTGCCCCGTAAATTGTTGGCCTGCTGGGACTGAGAGATTAGGATTACTGGTCTACCTATTACTCTGTCGGCAGAGCGGGGGCTATATAAACATCTGGATTGAGGATCTGAGGCTGAGACCATGGAGTGCAATGTAATTGAAGGCATAAGGTTTGTCTGTCAGTTGTGGAAGGGGCCACCTCATACCAAGACCTGGGAGACTAAATTATGCTAATAGAGTTTTCAAGGCAAAAGACCTTCAGAGGGGGATTGCCATTTCCTGGCTCTACATCATGACCCTGGTATTCCTTGGAGGTCTCCCATCCAAATACTAGCCAGGGAGACGTCTCCTGCTTAGCTTCTGAGATCTGACAAGATCAGGTTAGCTTGGCTATCCAGGTTAGGGCAAGATGGTCAATTAGAGTAAGGTAAATAAATTAATTTTAAAGGGGCACTTGGGTGGAAAAACTGAGGAGAGAATTCTATGTCAGATGGAAGGACGCTTCAGTAATACGGAGCTGCAAGGGGGGAAAGATGCAGGCAGACAGCAGTCTTTGGTAATGTGAAAAAGCCGCCAGGGGCAGCTGAAGTTGGACAGCAGGAAGTTCACAGAATGTGTATCACCTTATGGAAAGTGACAGAAGAGGGGCCTTTTCACTATCCTGGCTCATTGCAGGGTTTTGATTGAAAACTCAGGTTCCAGACTGTGTGTTAGTTGTTGTGATCTTGCCTTTTTCTTAGTGAATCTCTGGAAAATAATGAGCTATGGCAGTGGTTGTTGTAATATTGGTCAAGATCCAGTATTGGGCTGGAACTCTCTCGCAGCTCAGAGTTCCAGTGGGTGAGCTCAGAGAGGAAGGTGAGCTCAGAGAGAAGGGTGGATAGCGAGATAACAGAAATAGATTTGAAGCTAGAACCAGAGGTGTATTTGCTTAATATGTTACCGGAGGGGATTAAATATAATGAAAAAAGTGTGATATTATATGTCCTCACAGTATCCAGAATACTTGTAGCTAAATCGTGGAAATCAGATAAAATTCCAAGTAGAGAAGAATTAACAATGAAAATTTTGGAAATAAAAGAAATGGACAAATTGAACATGATACTAGCGGGGGAAGGAAGAAAATGTATTCCAAAAAAGATGGCAAAAGTTAGATAGATGGATGGGGGAAAACGTGTAATGTAAACTCCAAAATATGTAAATGTTTATTTTATGCATGCTTTATACAATGGAAAATGATAAATAAACGATTTAAAAAGAGAGAGAGAGGAGGGTGGATAGCAAATTTGGGTTTGCTTATGTATAGTGTGCAAAATGGCCTTGAGATACAACTTGTTGCTCAGTAATGCCATATATTTATGAATATTAAATATGAAAAATAAAATAGAGATGTGTATAGTGTAAACTGACTTCTGAGAGGAAATAGCATGGAGTTGCTCTGTAAGTGGATTTCAAAAGCTACAGTAAGTAAAGTATAGTAAGTTTATAAATGGGTCCCACTTCCAAAAGTTGGAAACCCACACTGCTGTGGTATTGAGGGAAGCTGAGGTCTCATATAAGAACATAACATAAGAGATGCCAATGTTGGATCAGGCCAAAGGCCCATCCAGTCCAACACTCTGTATCCCACAGTGGCCAGAAATACCAGTGCCATCAGGAGGTCCACCAGTGGGGCCAGGACATTAGAAGCCATCCCACTGTTGACCCCCCCCAAGCACCAAGATGACAGAGCATCACTTGCCCCGGAGTCCCTATCTATACCTTGTGGCTAATAGCCACTGATGGACCTCTGCTAGTCATTCTTTCCACAGATGAATTGCCTAGAAAATTTAATAATTTGGTTTCATCCTAGTAACAGTTGCTCTCTGTGCCTTTGATCTTTCCTTTCTGATGCCTGATACTCATTTTGAACCGTTTGATTCTGGTGTTGTGCATATTTTTGTACAGTGCCACACCTTATCAATCTCCATAGGGAAGCGTTGTTCAAAGTAGGCTGGCTGCTCTTCTATGAAGAAAGAAGTAGGGATGGGTTTTTATTGTTTTGTCCTTGCATGTTACCACAGACCTGTTTCAAACTATATGGATGAGGCAGACAGCACAGTGTTTCTGAGTTCTATGTAAAGCAGGGGAATGGAATAAACTAGGCTTCTATTCCCAGAGAATACTGTAGGGGGTCTTAGAAGAAACAAAGATGGACAGCCTACCTCGGTGTGTTGAGAGAAACCAAGGACAGGAGAAATTATTCATATTAATTAATTAAAAAAACTTCTTAATGACAGTTCTTGGTTGTGGGCAGTGCTCTATACTGCCACGTGCTGTAGAGGTAAGTATGTATGCATTGCCACAGAGTAACTTATGGTTAGCTAAAGCAGTGCCGTGGCTGGAGCAAGGGTACACCAATGTGTGAAAGAAACTGGGATGTGATCTTTGTAGTATACTACTATTGGACCACTGCTCCTGAATAAAGGTTTGTCTAGATGCATGCCTGGGTATAAGGAGTTCATTGGTCCTTCAAAGATTTTATCACTATAGTGGTGGTTAGAGTGTCGCATTAGGATTTGGGTGACCCAGGTTCAAATCCCCACTTTGCCATGGAGGTTTGATGAGTAACCTTGACCCAGCCTAACCTGCCTCACAGGGTTATTGTGAAGATAAAACGGAAGAGAGAATTATTTAAGCTCCCATTGGGGAGAAAGGCAGGATAAAATGAAGCAAATAAATATGCTTGTCTTCTGCACACTAGAGTGTGACATTGCTCCAGAGCCACAGTACTGTAACCAATGAAGGTACTTTATCTAACTAAACCTTACTCTACGGTGATGTGGTGTTGGAGTAGAGTTTAATGCAGGGGTGGCCAAACTGCGCCTCGGGAGCCACATGTGGCTCTTTCACACATGTGCAGCTTCCGACAGGGTGGCTGGGGAAGTGAAGGGGAGGCAGTCTTCCCTTCCCCAGCCAGTGTTCCCCTCCCTGGGTAGGTTTGAGGTGAGGGGGAGCAGAGAAAGAAAGCAACTTTAAATGCATTCTCAAAGCCCCCACCCCCCTGGCCGGCTTGGAGAAAGCATTTGTCTCTTTAAATATCATTATCAATATCTGTTTTTACCTCTTTTGTTTTTATTTCTGGCAGTCTTATTTAATGTTAATACAAAGCAAATTTGCATATTTGCCAATAAAAACATGTGTAATATTTGTTGATGAGTTTTAGATCAAATCACGCATGAACTCTCCCTACCCTGTTTCCCCAAAAATAAGACCTACCCAAAAAATAAGCCCTAGCAGGATTTCTATGCATTTGTGGTATAAAGCCCTAGTGTGTCTTCTTGAGAAAAAATAAATATAAGACAGTGTCTTATTTTCGGGGAAATACGGTAGTAGCTAAAATGACTAAACAGGAGCTATTGTACTTTGGTCACATTATGAGAAGACAAGCATCACTGAAAAAGACAGTAATGCTAGGAAAAGTTGAAGGCAGCAGAAAAAGAGGAAGACCCAACATGACATGGATTGACTGAGTCAAGGAGGCTACAACCCTCAGTCTGTGAGACCTGAGCAAGGCTGTTAATGATGGGATGTTTCGGAGGTCATTAATTCATAGGGCTGCTGTAAGTCAGAAGTGACTTGATGGCACTTAACATATGCAGACGGTGAGGCACACATGTCATAGGGGCAAGTATGTATGCATGTGACAATACAGAACATTGCCCAAAACCAAGAACTGTCACGAACAAGTTTTTTTGTTAGTATGAATCATTTCTCCAATCCCCAGTTTTTCACTGCTTACACAGGAAGGTCATCTTTCTTCTAAGACCCTCTGCACCTGCAAACTACACTCTTGCTGAGTGGTGTGTGTATATTCTGTCTGAGTGTTCTGGAAAAACGTGAACTGCCAGGATGAAGCAGGTAGCAGTACCCCTGTTTACCCTTATCTGTGTGCAGCAGAGTAGCTGTTATCAGACATTTTCAGCCGTGCATATGCCAAAATGTTAATTTGTACACATGTGAATGCATGATTATGTAGTTCCACATTTGTAAAAAATTTACCAAAGTCACAAATCTTTTGAAAGTGCAGAGTGGTTCATAAGAGAAGGGATCTGTTGCTGACAGGATTGCTGTATGTTTGTGTACATCTTCATGTGATTACTGGCTGGTTACAAGAGCTGCTTGGTCTTTTGACTTTCTAGGAACATGCGCCAATTCCAGTGTATCATCCTACACCCAGCCAGGCACGTCTCGCCACACAACTGACAGAAGAGGAGCAGATCCGAATTGCTCAGAGGATTGGGCTAATCCAACACCTTCCCAAAGGAATCTTTGATCCAGGCTCAGAGCCATCAGAAAAAAAAATTAAAGAGTACGTCCTTCATGTCCAATGCTTTGTATTTACCATGCTAGCTTAATAGCAATTATTTGCTAATGGTGCCTAAAGAGGCAGTATGCTTCATTAACTTGGTGTGCAGCATGTTGTTTTACACATCTGTATAGGCCCTGTCCACTTTTTTAGACACCTTAATACTGTTTTGCATCTACTTCCTAAATGGAGCAAGTGTTTTCTTGAGAATAATTTATTGGGAAGATAACAAGACTCTCCAATTATGGAAGAAATTTGAAGAAAGCAGGAAGCCCAATTGTGAAGATGGTTGCTGTTGATCAAAATACTCATTTGGAGAAATATCTAAAGCCGTTCTGACTAAGAGAAAGACCTGTGCATGCACAAACACAAATGCCCTCTGCATTTGACTTCTGGTATTTCTTTACCTCAAGAACTATGGTTTAGAACCTGTAATCTGCAGGTGCAATGATTGCAGATCTTTCCTGCATTCCCCTCTCCCCAGCAGCCCTTTCCAACACTGGGAAAGTTTATTCCTGGGGTCAATGTGCCCACATGGACTAACAGCCACCAAGGGTCACGAGACTGTAGTGGAGAGGAAGAGTGGGGCAAATTTGCCCTCTTCTTGCTCTTCTGTACCTACTGAAGAAGCAGAAAGGCAGTTTTGTCCCCTTCTCCCTTCCCATTGCAGTCTTCCAACCATTGTGGCTATTTGCCCACTCAGGGGATGTAGTTCCTCCTTTCAAGTAACCACTCCTCCATAGCAAGGCCCATCTCTTGTTTTCAAGGACTGTTACGCTAGACTGGTGGTCCCAACCTGGGGGCCAGGGATTCCTGGGGAGCCCCAGAGTTATTGCAAGGGGTCTGCAAACGCATATGGAGCATTGTCATTTTGATCTTTTTGTCATTATGTATTTTCTCAATCAACAGATGCTAATAGTACAACTATTATCATGTGAGATGTGGGGGATGCAGATTTTCCCCTGTAAAGGTGGGGAACCAGTGCTCTTAACCAGTAGGCTCAGACAGAACAGATGGAGTATGGAAAAATAGTTTTGCAGAAAGTAGTTGATTCCTAATGAAAGCACAGAGATGAGTTACATTATTACCCAGAAGAGGTTATTCTGTTAGGTTCCCCCCCCCCCCGAGATAGACTGTACTGTTTATATGATTATGGAAGTCACATCTAGAAACAGAGGTCATTTCGGGGCGGATTGCAGTTCCCTCGGGTGAGGTACGGTGGGCGGGGCACATGATGAAGCCCCGCCCCCTGCTTCCGGCCCTCATTCAGCCAGGAGGAGGCAGGAGAAGAGGGAGGGTAAGTTGCTTCCTCCCTGCCTCTCCCCACCCCTGCCTGCCTGGGGCCAGGGAGGGCCTTCGCAGGGCTTCCTCATTGGGGGCGGGGTGTGTGGCCTTATGACACACTTCCGGTGATGTCAGGGGGTGTGGCATATGCTAATGAGTTATGCTAATAAGTCCCTCCAGCTCTTTTTCTACGAAACGACCCGTCTAGAAACATTCGCCTTTTTGCTTTTTGAAATTGAGATTATCATAGAGATTTTGGATATGTCTAAACTTCTGCTGCCTACCTATGCATCCATACTCCCCTGGCTGGGAGCCATATTCCTCTCCCCCCAAGCTAGCATACTTAAAATAAAAATTTCTTTCACTGTCTTTTCCATCTACATACATTTAACCTCTGGAATTGTTTGCTATTTAGACAGACTAGTACTGGTTGTAAAAAAACAAAAAAGATACATTAATAGAGTTTTTTTGTATCAGCAGCATTTAGGTGGGATAGAGAAGGAACGTTTTTAAATTTCTACTTTGGAAGACAGGAGGGAACAACTTGTGATGAAGGGATTTTCTGATTTACAGTAGAGAAACAGTTGCTGGCCCCCATAAGAAATGGAATTTTGGACAAAATGGATTTTGGCTAGCAGTGATTGGCTTGCTGTCTTTTGGCCATGGAAATATTTGAGAGGTGGGTGGAAACACTAGGTCATAGCTCTGTCACCTCCAAGTTCATAGTGTGTTGTCTTCTTATCTCAGTTTATGAATAACAAAGGAAGTCTGATGCCAGAATACCAAGAATGTAGGGTACAGAAAATCTTCCTTTGGAAACCTCACTTCCTAGGAATTATGTGGAGAATCCTGAATGTGCTAGATCACAGATCCCTAGTCTTATTTAATCTGTAGGCACTTTTGGAATTTTGGCAACAGGTAATAGGCACTAGAACAAAGTGGCTGCCATGGGGGAGTAAGGATTGATCATAAAATGGCCGCAATGAGGGATGGACCTCACTACGATGTTGGGAAGGTTCCAAAAATATTAGCAGTGCCAAAGCAAGCATGCTGCTATGATGGAGACAGCTGTATCCAAATGAGTGCTTGCTAGTCACCAAGGTGATGCTTTTTTGGGCTCTTCTAACATGCCTTCTCTAGGGAAGTGGAAAGCAGGATTGGCTGTTGGTTTAGGGAAGCATCAAGTAGGTGCCAGAGACATTGGGCATTACTGCATGCTTAGTGTTGCCAGAAGGAAAACACTACAATACCTTCAGTTCACTACTCTGGAATATAATAAAAGAGTACTTATGTTACAAATGGAGTTCAGTGTTAATGGCTTTGGGGGCTAGTTTTGTGAGGTTTATAAGCACTGAGCAAAATGGCAAGTAGTGCTAATTTCTAGTGTATTTGAATTATGATGCAACTTGGGCAGGGGATGTAAAAGATTTGAAACCTCCTAATAGCTTCCTTTTGCTAATGCCATCTTTCCCCCACTTTTTCTCTTTGCCTGGCTCCAGGTGTGTGATCTGCATGCTGGATTTTGTATATGGAGACCCCATCCGGTTCCTGCCATGCTTGCACATCTACCATGTACACTGCATTGATGACTGGCTGATGCGATCATTCACATGTCCTTCGTGCATGGAGCCAGTTGATGCTGCTCTGCTGTCCTCCTATGAGACTAATTGAGGTGGCTCTGTGCCCTGCTCTTGTGAATGTTTCCAGGCCTGGGCTATGTGGGAGGCTAGGAGGTGGCACACACTTTTATTTGCACACTTCTGGGATACACCAAAGAATTCTGTGGTGAAGAACCCTGGTCTCAGACCTCAAAGACAACACAGAGGCATTTTGGCTTGGCTGGCTGTGCTAAAGGTTGACTTGTGCCATAATTGAGCATTTGTACCCAAACTTGATGACAATTAAGGAAAAATGGTAATGCTGGAGTTGTCCTTTCACTCCTTCCACAAATCTTTGTACGTCAAGTTTGTTGTCTGAAATAATTCTTTGCTCTCATGTCCTTCTAATTCCTCACTGAGTTTGCAGGTAGGGTTTTGTTCACTGATCTTGGGATTTCAGGTTAGAGGAATTCTAGGGTTCTGGTTGGTTTGCAGTGGAATCTGGGCCTTTCTCAAAGCATTTTTAGCACTCACTCTTTCATTGCATGAAAGGAACGGTGCTTAGTATTACTGGGTGGCAACAGCAGTGGTATTTATGTTGACCACTGTTGAAGTATATGTGCTGCACTGCAGAAGAGAAACATACAATTCTTTGAGAGACACTTTGTGGACAGAAACATTGGGGGTGGGGCTATAGCTTGTTAGGGTTAGCTGGAAGAAGAGTGCTTCTCTTTCAAAGTTCATGTTTCAGCTAAGGAGACTGCCCAGAGGAATGCTTCCTTCTCTTGTTTTCTGCTTTTAAAGTGTTTTTCTCAATCAGGATGGGTTTTTTTTAATCCTTTCTGAAGTGTTTGCAGGTTAGGCTCCTGTGCTAATATTCTAAAGTTCATAGGAAAGGGGGTACACAGGCTCCATAGAGAATGATTTTATCTTGTCACATGACTAGAACAGATTTAGAGAAGCAAACAGTATTTTCTCTCCCACACTGAAATACTCATTCAGGTGTAGTTAACTGGATTGCTGTTTGATAAGTGAAGATGGCTCACAGTTCAGAATTTCTCCATGAAATTATCTAGCAAAAGCAGCATTGACAGTTTTTAGACAATCCTGATGGCAAGCTTGTACAGCGAGAGTTGGCAAAGTTATTTGTAAATAAGAATTTTATAGAAGGTTGGTGCTTCAGTACAGTGAAATCCTTTCAAGAGACTTGACTATGGGTTAAGGCATTTAAGTGCACTACTATAAAAAGTGAAGACATTTTTGCTTGGCTGTTTGCCCAATGTTTGCTGTTTGCCTTACACAAGTTCAAGTAAAAACTCTTGTCTCATAGGAAACTGCCAGCACAGCCCACTGGTTAGTGCCAAGCAGCAAGTCCCTCCATTTGGAAAGGTTGCCCTTAGTTATGCTATGTTGTTTATTGCCTTGCAAGTGGAGAGGCGTGAAAGTGCTTTTCTGATTATGTATTATCCTTAACAAGGATTTAGCATTTGAAAGTAAAACCAATGTATATTGCATTCAAATTAAATAAAAGAGATTGCCTATAATCTCTTGGATTTTTTCTCTTTTTACAAAAAATTAAAACGACTGCCCCCATCCCTTCCATCATTTTTTTTCAATTACAGTGAAACTTGGTGAATTTTTCTAGTGGTGAATCCTTAGGGATTCGATTCTGCTCCACTTTTCTCTTTCCCAGTAAATGGAGTGATAAGGGGTCAGCTGCAGCCCTGAATATAGTTTATTGCTATAACAGATAATGAAAACTACCTGAACTACTACTCCGCCTGCAGCCCCTCCCTCCCCCACACACTTCATTTCTCAGGTGATTCAGACATCCAAATGTAAGTGATAACTACCATTCAGGAGCGCTCTGTCTGCAGTGGTACCAAAAATGCCAGAATATTTCTAGCCATTCTACTTTACTATGATGGGGAAGAGATGCTAGACTATAAAAGCCTCAAAACATGGTAAAGGAAGGGATGAAGTAGAAGCTGAATACAGCAAAATAGAAGAGACTATAATTCAAAAAAAGCTATTTCCCAGATTTCGAATTAGGGAAGTTTGACTTCTGTAGACCCCCAGAACTTCTGAGACTCCATGGACATAGTCCATTCAGGAGGAAACAACCCTATTAATTACAGATTAGTAGGATTAAAGGGGTTAGTGGGTAAAGAATCAAATGTTTAATGTTCACATGAAGATACACTTGGAAGGAAATCAATTTAAGAGAAGGGCAAAAATTCAGTGGCAGAGCATCTGCTTGGCATGTAGAAGTCCCAATCCTCCTGGTAAAACAATCAGGTAATAAGTGGCGTGAAAAACCTTTACCTAAGACTCTGGAGCCATTGCCAGTCTGACAGTACTGACCTTGATGGACCAATGCATTAAGTCAGCATAAAGCAGCAATATCTAGAACATTCTGGTAACGTTTCAATGCAAAATACAATTGCGTCTTTAAACATTTCTACCCATCATGAAAGAAATCTAGTTTGTTCACACAAGCAGCATTTATTTTTTCCATTCTATCGCATGCATTAATATTAATATAAACTGGCTGTTTACAGCGGACTAACTGTATCTACCTATACGAGTTTTTTCCTAGCTACCTATCATACAAATGGCGTCCCTATAACCAGTAAGTTTACCTAATAGTTTTTCCATATGGTCATGTACCCAGAAGAGAGAAAATAAGTGCTAGCTGCTTGTGTGAAACAAAACTATCATTTGGGTCACCTAGAACAAATTGGCAAATGAATACCTGCATGGCTCATAGCCATTCCTTTCTTCATCAATAAGCTGAACTGTCCCTACATTGTAGGCAACTGACACCATCTCTGACATTAGCTGGTGATTATGTCAAAAATAGATCTTCTCAAGACAGTTCTGGAACTGTGAGTTACAAATAGGTTAACAGCTGTTCCTTGCTGCTTGAAGCATATGATATGTCAGAGGTGGAAAATGGTCAGAAAAATCAGTAAAAGTCCGTTTTTTCATCTTGGTAATTTTTCAGTTTTTTTTTTTTTTAAAAAGATCAGTAAAGTTAGTATTTCTTTGTTTTCATGAATGCAATTTGTGGTGTTCTTGTTTTCGTTACTGCATTTTGGGGGAAACAATGACTTCCCAGTGAGAAAAGAGATTCCCCCCCCCTCCAAAGTTCAGAGATAGTGCAACAAGAACAGAACTTATCTGGGTAATAAAAACAATTTCAGTTGACTTCACTTTTGAGCCACCTTGTGAACATATTGGGGAAACTTTCCAGTTTGTGTTTCCAAATGCAGTGCCCCAACATCTTCCCTTATTAAGGACAAAGGCATGGTATCTAACAGATGTGCTGGCCCCATACTTCAGAAAACAGTTACCGAAGGACTTCAATGGTACATATTACACCTTGTGCTATGATGAAACCGCAAATGCACCATCTTACAAAGAATGGCAGGTAGCTGTTAGATACTGATCACCAACCAAAAACATGATTGTGACCAGGCACCTCCAGACCTTTTTTTATGGGTTTGACAACAGCTAAAGATATTTACAGTAAACTGGAGGAAGCTTTGGATTTGGCACAACTTCCTTGGTCAAAACTGCTAATGCTAAGTAAACATGGGCCAAATGTCAACAACGCTGCCACTAAATGATTATCTTATTTTGAGAGACAGCCTGTTGGCACTTGTAACATTCATCTAGTTCATAATGTGTTCCATAGGGGCCTGGCACAACTGGGAGACGATGTACCAAATTTAATTTTCCTTCACAATGGGAGGATTTCACAAAAATTCAAAGAGATCTTACTATCCCAAATATCATTGCTTGAAACATGTTTCTTCTAGATGGTTCTCACTAGAGTGCTGCTGCAAGACTGACTGAACAGTGGCCAGCAGTACTTTAAGGACTTCGTTCCTAAGAGTAAAAGTGCTTTGGTGAAATCTTCCACAAAGTATAGAAACATAATTAACCTCTTAAAACATAAGACAATGAAAGTAGAGGTGATGTTTTCTTGCACAAGTGCCCACTTATTTATAAAGTTCACTGGCGTGTTCCAGAAAGAAGAGCCTTTGGTGCATGGGATGCAGTTTTGTCAGTATTTGGCCAGTTTTTTGGAATTTGGAATCAATAATTTTACCCCTTTGACTAGTTTTCATCCCTGTGAACAGGTTAACAGCTGTTCCTTTCTGCTTGAAGCATATGATATGAAACAGTTCATCCTACATAATTGCATAATTTAAGATCAACTGCTCAAGTAGGACAGTTAGACTGGTCTTCTT